TATAGTTGGTAATAATGATGGACAAGGATTGTGCCCAATCATCTATTGCTTGTGGTTGATCCTTAAATGAAACATAAGACAAGTCTAAATAAGTACCATTTTGAGCTATTGGATACTTATGATTATTATATTTTCTAGATATCACTGGCTCAGGTGTAGGATTGGAGGTACCTCCAATGTTAGTATCATTTTTAACTTCATTTGTTTGAATAAAGTCAAAATTTTCTAACTTTCCCCATGTGCCAAATAATTCGGGATTAATTGGCTCTTCTGCCTTTCTTTTTCCTTTATTTATTTCTAATGAAATATCTTGATCTATTGATTCTTAAGATGAGGATGATTGGTTGTCATCATCATTAGTTGATATATTAATATCATAATCAAAGTGTTGTAAAAGGGCTTCATTTTTTAGATAAGTTTCTTTTATCTGATCTAGTAGCCTATTTCTTTCATCAATATCTAAGTCTGGGTCTTTATATAATTTTCTCCAATAATCCAATATTTCAACAATATTTTCATATTCAGTTCTATTATATGTATTGGTTTGACTCCACCATAATTCCATAAGAAAAATAGTAAAAAGCTCATTTCCTTTTTTAGTCAGCATGGTTTGAAGTAACCATAATATCTTCTTTACCATAAAATAGCCTAGGGATGTAACTATCTCCTGAACTATTCATTCCATCATTGTTTATGAAGAATATAGTTTCTAATTTTGTCATCAAATTGTTTATTTGATTTTTTGCTTCTTTATTTAAGTCAATATTTATTATAGAACCCAAATTGTCTATTTTAGATTCTATAGACTCAACTTTAGTTTCTAGATAATTTTGATTTATTTTTTGATTTTTATCTAATTTGAAAAACCAAGAACACATAATATCAGTAATATTATTTAAACTAGAACACACACTATTTATATTTGCAGATTCTTTAGTAATATGCAAACTATGATCATATTTATTATTAACATTATTTTTTGTATTTCCAAAGCATATTATATCGTCAGAATTAATTGCCATTTTAGATTGTTGTTGGTACCTAAGACCCTCCTAGTGTATTATCTGGTGCCTAAAACCTCTCTTTTAAGATCTTAAAGATTTAATTATGGCCAATAGTCAAAAGATCTTAATGAGTATATGGGCTTTGACATACACTAAGTATATAGGTTTTACAACAACTAAAAATGAAACAAATAATTATGAAGACATAAAATACAAAAGATACACAAAAAAATCAAAGCCCATAGGTTTGATTCATCATCAACTACTTCCCTTGATCTTTCATGATAGGGAGGTGGTTTTGAGAGTCTTATTTTGTTGCATTCAGTGGATCTTCACACTTTGGTTCATTGGCTATTATGTAATGAAATTGCATCCATTGATGGTTTGTGAACCAAGCTTACGACTCCTTTGAGCTGTTCATGATAAGGAGGGGTAAATTGTGCAAACAAACCCTTGAGAATACACTATCTCTACTTTATTTACTCTCTGTTGCAGCAGAATAATTCAGTCAGCAGTGGCCGGCAGGCCATCATCAGTGGACGGCAGGCCCTCTGCCAGCCACCAGTGCAAAATCAAGCAGTGTTCTTTTGAAGCAGAATATAGTTGGTCTGGAGTTGGAAATTAGTGCAGGTGCTATATTGTGTAACAGAGGCATTTAGTAGCAAAAACAGTGGCTTTTTCGGGTGGAAACCTCATTTATGCATGAGCCTTTCAGCGATCATCGGGATCCGTGTTTTGAATATATTAGTGTTGTGTTTAAAGTAGTGGCTTTGTAATTAATTAGTTAGAATATCTAATTTGTCTCGTGTTGTAATTATTTTAATTAGCTAGAATAGTTAATTAATTCAGTTTGTAATAATTAGTTAAGTAGTTAGGCTATTTATTCATTTCATTTTGTAATAGTTAATTAATTAGTTTAGCTTTAATTAGTTAGCTAGTTAGTTCATTCGGACCCTCCCGTGGAAGGGCGTAATGTTGTAATAATGTATATGTCTTCCATCCCCACATCTTTCTTCCTTTTATTTACTAGCTTACGATGGTTAGTTTAGGGCATCATATTTTGTTTAGCATCTCTCATGCCCTGCATCCACTTGTATTGCGTGTAACGAGGCTCAGTTCATCACTCTAATTACATTGTTAGTTTAATACTTCTTTGAATACGTGCTTAAACCGCATGCTATTTAATTGATTCGTATGCTATGCTAGTAGTCGAGCCTATTTAGATTTCATATCGTGTGTATTGTATTAGTCATATTGCCTAGTTAGGATTATGCATATTTCTAACTTTATCTTCTTTTTGGCTTGGAGTACTAGGTGAGCCTTTACTCGCTTTAGCATAATTGTATGAATGTGATTGTTCCATGTCTAGCATGCTTGCCATAAGATTAAGTGCTTAAATGTTAAATTGCTTGAATGCCTGTGGACGAAGGCTAGTTGCTTGAATTGGAATAATTTGAGTAATGTTCATATGTGATCACTTTTCAAGTGGTACATATTCGAAACAATTTTGCAAACAAACATGAGATCAAGTGTTCCAATTTTTGTAATTAGTCTATACTTGTGTGTGTGTACATCACATAGTAATGCTAGCCTAATAAATCGGAACAAGAACATATAATGTAAATAAGATTCATATCATGATTAGTAGAGGCTGATCTTTGATCGGGCGAGCGGGGGTGCTCAATTCATGACCTTCCTCTCTCGTACCTAAGTTCTCGAGCCGAGACAATTTTGGCAATAACAGATATGTGGCCTTTGGCACGAGTCATGGGTTTCTAAATTTTCTAAAAATATTTAGGTGGTGACTCTGTATCAGGCAAAGTAGTCCATTTTTAACAATTTGATTCAAAATCGATTTTTCAAAAGATTTGTCAGATTTGGACTCTTTGGTGTTTATCTATTTCACATTGCACTTGTGAAATTAGACTCAGAACCGCGAGAATTCAATGCTGTAGGGCTTATTCGTCTTCCGAAAGGGGGCACGAAAAGTCGAGCTACATATTCATAAACATCACCACTATTGAAACCTTTGCAAAGGGTGGTATCCTAGAGTCCAGGATGGCTTGCCAACCCATCACCGTGACGGGTTTTGGTGGTGAAAAAAAAGTTACTAAGGGCCATGTTGTCGTAGACTTAGCAGTTGGTGAGATCTGTTCCACAACTGAGTTCCATGTGATTGAAGCAGACACAAATTACCATGTGATATGTGGCAGGGCTTGGATGCACTGATATAGGGCTATCCCGTCGAGTTATCACCAATGTACGAAGGCAAAGTTGGAAAAGCGCATAGTAACCATAAATGCATTTGAAAAGCCATTTGGAGTGGAGGAGGCACACTATTCGGATGCAATTTTCTTTACTGAGTTGTTAATGGATGAAACTCCAAAGACTGGTAAAGTTGCAGGGGTAAAATTGCCGAAGTGGGAAGACATTCGGGATGCAGAGGTTGCTCCAGAAAGTAATGGGCAGAAGAGGAGCAGCAAGTCCACAAGTCCTCCACCCAAGATTGTTAAGGTGTGCGAGGGTGGCAAGATAGTTTACTAACTATGACGGTCTTGGGGGCCAGACTTCATACCTTGGGAGGATGGCCCTAAGACAAATAAATGTGACGATGATGAGTCCCAAGAAGGGTTGGCGGAAACACCTGAGCCCACCCCTAAATGCATGCAAGATAGACCCAAACTGCAGCAGGAGGTACTTGCTAAGGTCAACCTCAGCGACTTACCAGGGCAAAGCAAGCTCGTGTTTATTAGCGATATAATGGCTCCAGCAACTAAGGCAGAATTGATAATACTACTGAAGCGGTATAGTGACGTCTTTGCTTGAACATATGACGAGATGCTTGGTCTTGACCCATCCCTTGTCACTTATCATTTGGACACTTTTCCCAACTCTTAGCCAATCAAGCAGCATGCTTGAAAGTATCACCCTGATCTTGAAGCAAAGATTAAGACGGAGGTAGAAAAGTTGCAGAGGGCTAAGTTCATTGAGCCTATACAATACTCAACTTGGCTAACAAATATTGTGCTTGTGAAGAAGAAGAATAGACAGATTAGGGTCTGCGTAGACTTTCGCATCCTGAATAAGGCCTGCTCAAAAGATGAGTTTCCATTGCCCCATATTGACACACTTGTCGATTCTACAGCGGGCCATCAGATGTTCTCTTTCACGGACGGGTCCAGTGGTTATAACCAGATCAAAATTGCACTAGAAGATGCAGAAAAGACAACTTTCAGAACGCCTTTGGGAAATTTTTTCTATACGGTGATGCCCTTCGGTTTGAAAAATGCAGGGGCAACCTACTAACAGGCTATGACTGCAGTGTTCCATGACATGTTGCATCATGAAGTGGAAGTATATGTGGATGATCTGGTGGTCAAGTCTACTGAGGCAACCTGACACCTCTGCGACTTTGAAAAAGATTTTCAGCGTTGCCGCAAATTCTGCTTAAAGATGAACCCTCTCAAGTGTGCCTTTGGAGTTACCGGTGGCAAATTCATTCGTTTTCTGGTACACCAACAAGGGATCGAAGTAGATGGGGATAAGATCAAGTCAATCATAGAGATGCCATTACCATACTCTCAAAAGGTCTTGAAGAAATTTCTAGGCAAAGTGTCATACCTTAGGAGGTTCATTCCAGCGTTTGCTGAGATAACCTTTTCCTTTGGGACACTGCTGAAAAGGAATCACAAGTTTGAATGGTTGTAAGAACACCAACATGCATTTGATATGGTGAAGAAAACACTTACCTCTCCACTTACAATGATTGCCCCACAACCTGAAAAGTCTCTGTTGCTGTACCTGACCACTGCACCTCGGTTTATTGGAGCTCTACTTGTCCAAGACATAGATGGCATTGAGAAGCCAGTTTATTACATCAGTCGCAAAGTCAATGGTGTCGAGTCGCGATATACCCCAATTAAGAGGCATTGTTTAGCCTTAATCTTCACAGTGTAGAAGTTGCGCTATTATTTTTTGGCACACCCGATCTAGGTTATGAGTGATCCAGTCCACTACTTGTTGAGCAAGCTTGCTTTGACTGGAAGAATGACAAAATGGCTTTTGGCTCTAGTAGAATATGCTATTACTTGTGTTACTCCCAAGGCTATTAAGAGTAAAGCACTTGCAGACTTACTGACCCAATTTCCATTTGGTGAACATGAACCTGTAGAGGTACCTCTACCAGATGAGGTCCATGTCTCAGTAGCTGCAGTTGAGACTTATTGGGACTTAAAATTTGATGGAGCTTCCGGAGCAGGGAAAGGTAGAGTTGGCATAACACTAACTCAAGAAGAAGAGAAGTTTCGTCTATCAGATAAGCTTGACTTTGAATGTTCAAACAATGATGCTGAATATGAGGCGTTGATACTGGGTCTAGTTACTGCCCAAAAGAAGGGCCTCCACAAGTTGAAAATTTGGGGCGACTCCAAGTTAGTTGTTAAGCAAACAATGGATGATTTCGCCTTGAAGGAGCCTCTGTTGGCCCCATACCGCACCATCGTCCAAAATTTGCTCACCCAGTTTGATGATGTCCAGATTCAGCACACCCTTCGAACACACAACCGTTTTCCTGATGCCTTGGCTACACTAGGGGCAAATGTGGATATACCAGATGATAGTATAGCCATCATCGTCGAGAAAAGAACAATAGTAGTATTAGTCGAAGAATATACAGTTTAAGATGCTGAGGGATGGAAAGTAGATATAATCCAACAGTTGAAAATAGGCCAGGAAGCAATCAGACCAACAGAACTTGCATCATTCCTGCTCAAAGAAGAGTTGTATTTTTGTAGTCCCAACAACTGCTAGCAAGGTGCATTGGTAGACAATAAGCAATTTACAGACTTAAGCAGATCCATTCTAAGTCCTGTGGAGATTGGGATATCAGTCTATACCGACGGATACAGAGGAAAGGGTATTACTGGCCAGAGATGGAAAAGGAAAGTACTGAGTTACAAAGACAATGTGTAAAATGTCAGTCCCATCCTAAGGAAGATGAAGCTCATTTCTTAAGCAGTGAAGAATGGAAACAACCATATATTGACTACCTTGGAAATGACACACTGTATGAGAACAAAGTCGATGCAATCAGAGTTAAGAGGCAGACTCTTTGCTTCTTCCTTGACTAAGGCAAGTTGTACCGCAAAAGCTTTGAAGGGGAACCTCTGGTGTGTTTATCAAAAGAGGAGGCAAATGAAGTGTTAAGGGAAGCCCACAAGACAGAGCATCAAGGAGGGCAGCGATTATATGGACATCTCATTCACCTTGGCTATTATTGGCCAACAATGGAAGAAGATGCCAATCTTGCTAGAAGTTTGGGAACTTGATACATACACCAGCGGTTGAGCTGTACAACATCAAGACTCCTTACTCGTTTCATACTTGGGCATTTGACTTGGTAGGTCCTATAGCGCAAAAATCCAAAGGCCATAAATGGATACTTGCAGCGACGGAAGTTAGCACCAAGTGGGTAGAGGCTATACCAATGAGAAAAGCAGATGGGGCAGGAGTGGCCAACTTTATTAAGGAAAACATAATCTATAGGTTTGGCATACCCAAAGTAATGTTGTTTGACAATGGATCTCCCTTTGTAAATCGCCATGTAGGAAGACTGCTGGAAGCTTACCAGATTAAGCACCACAAGTCTAGTCCATACTATCCTCAATGAACAAGTTGAGGCAACCAACAAAACTCTTATCCGAACATTGAGTAAAATGATGGATGAAGCAGGGGGCACATGGTCTGAACAACTCCATGTAGCACTCTGGGAGTATAGAATGTCAAAGAGGAGGCCAACTCAGGCAACTCCATTTTCCCTAGTATATGGGTCCGAAGTTGTGTTACCAGTTGAGTTGGCAGTACCTTCAGCAAGAATGGCTATGTCAGCACACTTAGTTCCAGACAATTGACTACCTTGGAAATGACACACTGTATGAGAACAAAGCCGATGCAATCAGAGTTAAGAGGCAGACTCTTTGCTTCTTCCTTGACTAAGGCAAGTTGTACCGCAAAAGCTTTGAAGGGGAACCTCTGGTGTGTTTATCAAAAGAGGAGGCAAATGAAGTGTTGAGGGAAGCCCACAAGACAGAGCATCAAGGAGGGCAGCGATTATATGGACATCTCATTCACCTTGGCTATTATTGGCCAACAATGGAAGAAGATGCCAATCTTGCTAGAAGTTTGGGAACTTGATACATACACCAGTGGTTGAGCTGTACAACATCAAGACTCCTTACTCGTTTCATACTTGGGCATTTGACTTGGTAGGTCCTATAGCGCAACAATCCAAAGGCCATAAATGGATACTTGCAGCGACGGAAGTTAGCACCAAGTGGGTAGAGGCTATACCAATGAGAAAAGCAGATGGGGCAGAAGTGGCCAACTTTATTAAGGAAAACATAATCTATAGGTTTGGCATACCCAAAGTAATGTTGTTTGACAATGGATCTCCCTTTGTAAATCGCCATGTAGGAAGACTGCTGGATGCTTACCAGATTAAGCACCACAAGTCTAGTCCATACTATCCTCAAGGGAACGAACAAGTTGAGGCAACCAACAAAACTCTTATCCGAACATTGAGTAAAATGATGGATGAAGTAGGGGGCACATGGTCTGAACAACTCCATGTAGCACTCTGGGAGTATAGAATGTCAAAGAGGAGGCCAACTCAGGCAACTCCATTTTTCCTAGTATATGGGTCCGAAGTTGTGTTACCAGTTGAGTTGGCAGTACCTTCAGCAAGAATGGCTATGTCAGCACACTTAGTTCCAGACAGTAGAAAGAACGACATAGAGATAGCCGTAGAAAGAATGGATCGGGCCTCGCGGGCAATGGAAAAGTATCATCAGTCCATAGCTCACGTCTACAAGTAGTTGTTCAACATAGGAAGTTCAAGGAGGGGGACTTGGTATGGAAGACAGTGGACGCAATCATGCGGGGGCAACCAATCCCCAAGTTCTCACTTAGATGGAAAGGCCCCTACAAAGTTGCCGAGGCAAGCAGCAGCGAGTATTACAAGTTGACAAGAGTAGATGATGGGTTCAAAATTGGCCCTATCAACACCAAGTATGTCAAAGAGTATTTTCCTTAATTTCTTTTGTTTAGGAAAAAGAGTTGTAAGTTTCTTTGTTAATACTACCAAAACAACGTGTAAAGAAAGTGTCATACACTTAGTAAACCTGTTCCTCTTATAAACACTTAGTGCAAGGAAAGTTTTCCATACTTAGTGAAATTTTAGCCTCATAAAAACTTAGTCATGGTGAAGTTCTGTTCATAGCAAGAGTATTGCTCATCCTTAGAAGCTATGTAAAGATAATGAAAAGAAGACAGTGAAGTAAAATTCTACTACTCAGTATCTTTGTTCCTCATAAACATCAAAGTTTTTCACAGCATGATTACAAAGTTTGAAGGAAAAAAGAAGAAGGAAAAAAAGAGAGCAAAAGTACAAAGAAAATGAGCCATAACAGAGTCACAAAAAATCAAATCAAACCCTTCACAAGGGAGTCCATCAGAGTCATATCCCTAGGTAGTTGAGCAACTAGCCAGAGTTTTTCTCTTTGAACTGAGCTAGGTTCTGCCGATGTAGCTCTAAGGCACCCTCACACTCTTGGATAGTCTCCTCTAAAGATGCAATCATCGCGACATTATTTGCATGTTCAAGGAAGCCATCTACCGCCTGAAGCCTGGCCCTCATCCACAATAGGTCCAGATCATTCCTCTCAAAGTTGCTCAAATTAGCCTCAACACTCTCCACAAACTTGCTGGGAGTCGTCAGAATATTCTTTGCAACAAGGTCGCGGATGAAGCTGGCAAGTGACTCCAATAGTGTTGTCTGCACCATTGAGCCCGAAATGTTGAAAGTAGTGAAGGTGCCAGGGTGCAGTGCCTTGATGCGGGCAAGAGTAGGAGCAGCTTCGGGGGAGACCTAATAACTTAGGAAAGAAACTTTCCCTGAGGACTGAGGGGACCCTCTTACACCACTGCTAGCTTCGATTACTGGAGGGAGACTGGTAAAGCGATCAAAGGCCTGGGGGCGACGCACCTTCCCTGAAGACGACTGCCTAGCGGTATTGAAATAGGTAGATGCTAGGTGGCGATCGAGTGAACTAACCTTACAAGAGAGGCCAAAGCTACCTGTATCATCATGTCACTCCGAAAAGAGGTCGTCTATGGGGTAGTCCTCAACATTCAAATCTGGCACAATAGCGATGTCCATACCCATATAAAAGTCTCTTGATCTTCTAAGATTAGCTGGCATCTCGGGGAAGTGAGTGGGGTACAGGTCAGCAAGCTGCTCAGAAGTTACTAAGGCAACTGGGTCAGAAGCATCAGCAACGGTAGTAGTACCATGAGTGGCTAGGTTGGCACCTGCCTTTACAAGTTGGGCCAAGTTTCGGGGGCTCACAGCAAGAACAACCGCTACATCTGCACCTTCTTCAGCAACTTGAACATTGGGAAGTGGGGTCTGTGGAACCAATAGAGACTCAGTGGATTGGGAAGAACCCCTAGATACAGCTCCCAAGGGGGGTGGTGCAACTTCTAGTGGCTCTCTTAGGCCACGCTCTTCTCTTGGGGTCTTAGGAACAAAATCCTCTTCGCCAACAGAGGAATGGTTAGAATGAGCAGAATTAGCAATCCCAGCAACTATGCCACCCTCTGCAACTTCTGCAGTAGGAGAAACTCGTTCACTTTCAACAAAGAGGGCATCATGACCTCCTTTCGTATCCGCAACTTCAGCAATTGGCTCAGCCTCAACAATATGGTCGACCTTAGCACTTGGTTCTTCTTCAACATCTGGAAGTGCCATTCTGTGAGTTCTGAGTCTAGTGACCCTGGAAGCAATGGGAAGGTCGTCATCCTCGTCATCTGAATATGAGGAAATTCCAATAGCAGTTGAGGGGGCCTCTGGGGCTTGAAGGCGATATAGCTGAAACAGTATTGCGTTCTGAAACCAGCAGACCCAAAAAAAAAAAAAAGAAAGAAAGAAAGAAAAGGGGAAAGATCATGTGACTGCTAAAAAATAAAAAAAAATAAATGTAAAAAGCCCAAGGAAGTAATGCAAAATATTTTCTAAGTATGGGTACCTTTTGGAGTCTCTTCTTACTTGGTGAGGCACGTATCTCAACAACTGATGCCGCTGCCTCCAGGGTTGCTATCAGTCTGGAATGGGTCATGCATACTGTTACACCAATTGGGGAAAGAGCAACTTGTAGGGGTTGGACGGACATTGCCCCAGATGGATGAGGCTCCTCTATTGCAGGTAGGGACAGAAGCTTGAAACGATAGAATATACTAGTTTATTTCCCTCGACCAGAGGGGAGATGAAGGGATAAGTTAGGCTGCGGAATGGGTTCCATCGTAAGGACAATGGGAGCATTGTTGCAAAAGTTGAAAAAAGAGTTGAGGTTGCAGTGCCAGAATAGCTTGTTACTAGGAGTGAAGACACCTTCTCGTCCAAGTAAAGGCAACTCCATGAGGCCTAAACCCTCCACGAGTAAGGCAGTGTAGTCACAAGCAAACCTTTGGAAGCTCTGATGACAATCTGTTTGAGGTTGAAGGCCGTGGGGGATGCCCTGGTCCATGCCGAATTGCCTAAGGACCCTATCTGGTCGGTAGACAACACTGGACATGCCCTTCTCATTCCATACTTGCAAAAACCCGGGGCGTATCATGGAAGCTAG